CATCATCGACAGAGGTTCGGTCATTTTTAAAACGTGAATGCCACACAAACGTTTGTGCACGACCCATTGCGGACTCCCCAAATGCTTGCTTTAGGATTTCATAGGTTTCCGTAGCCGTTTTGGCGAGTCTTTGGCAAAATTTGATGCACACGCCATTCCGCAATCGCAGGAGGGTCGGTGTAATGCACTACCAAAACGCCCGTAACTAAGAAACAAATGCTAATTCGATGATGCCGGCTGGCACACTGATTCACTATGAATGTAGGCTGCACCCCCTAAAGGCAGAAGCTCGTACTATATCCGGTTCGCCCTCTATTGACACAGTCTGGAAACATTCCAATCGCACCTCGTATGTTCTTTGTGACACAAATAGCTGTCTGTTGGATGCAAACATTTCCCATTTCACTCATCTGTATGCCACAGAACATCAGTAGAGCTGAACAACTTTGGCTGCATTTTTATGAATTCAATGCTTTTGTCAACAACACTTTTTACCAAATAATTGTAACATGTGCTAACAGTTTATGTGTGTTTTATTTATTTATTTGTATTTCATAGCACAGGCCTGGAAAATCTTGTCCCTTCTCTGTGCTGTAACCAAAGACAAACACCTTTCTATGTCTTATTTTATTTTTCATTTTATATTTTGTTTTTATTTCTATGTTCTGTAACCTATGACAAACACTGTGTTGAGAAATGAACTGGTAGTCTTAGCTGCTTAATGGGAGTAGTGAAGGGTTATTCAATAATTATTAATGTATTTATTAATTTATCTCTTGTTGTTTGGTTATTTTGATATAAATACAATATACTGGTGTGTTTTGGTTATGGAAGAATGTGAAAAATACGGAGGTATCAACAGCTTAACAAACAAACAAACAATGACACAGACCAATGTGATGTGACAAAACAGGGTTAAATGAAGTCTCATTGCTATTAAAAATGTACAGGCACATTTGAATTAAAGCTGTCATGGCACAACTGTTCAGAAACACTGTCATATATTATTCTGTATTGACACTATTGTGAGAGTTGCGTAATGTTTAGACTGCATATGCCAAAATGTAGTTTTGCTGACATTGGATGTGTGTTTTAGTTCCAGCCAGAGCTGATCCTGGTGTCAGCCGGTTATGATGCTGCAATTGGCTGTCCTGAGGTTTGCTACAATTTTATTGCAATGGTCATTTCAGCAACTATCTCTGGTTGGCCAATTGTTTGTTTTTTATTGTGGACACAGATTTTTGCCAGATTTTATGTTAGGTGTCTGCAGTAATGTTAGAAAAAATTATTATGCGAAGGTCAGACCACACATAAAATGGGTCATCATACAAAAAATTTATACATAACAGAAAACACTTCTCATTAAGATGTGTAGCTTTAATGTAAACATTTGTCAGTTTAGTTCATATTTAATAAAATACAAAAGAAAGAGTTTATTCCTCACTAGAATATTACATTTGTACCCTTCCACAGGTTTATCAGCTTTATGAGTCTCACATTTTTGAGATGGTCTCTCCCTGACCAGGGACTGGTATGATATGTGACACTGATTAGTTTATATCTGTATTCTCGGTTGAGGCAGAGGCAGTCAAAAAAATTTAGGAGTTCATTCTGTGATGATATGGCTGATCACCTGGGAAGATTTATTTGTTTTTAGTCACTATTAGATATTCAGATTTTATATCTCAGAACATACAGCTGGCTAGTCAGCACATAGTTGCTTTGATGTCCTGTGTAATATATCATGCTCTGTTTGCAGTAATGCCTCTTCTTTTTCTTGTTTCTGCTCACCACCAAGTTTGGGCCTGAACTTGTAGTAGTATCTGCTGGGTATGATTCAGCCCTTGGGGATGAGAAGGTAGTTTATTTGATTTTATGGTGTTAAATATTTAGTATTTAAAGTAATGATCCAGTAAAGTTTGCGACTTTATCATGCATATTTTGACAAGTAAGGTTCAATTTATGTTTTCCACCAACTCATCCATCCATCTAGTGACTATTTTTTCAGGAATAAAAGTGGCCACAGCTGAAGCTGGCCACCCCCTCTTTCTAGAGCTCAGGCCAAAAATGTGTGGAGCTTTAAAACCGTGCCTCCCATTGCATCTTTATGGCATTGTGCTGAGGCACAGTGATAACTTTATCTGTCCTTACATATATTTGAAATTGGGTTCTTTTGTATTATCTCCTTGCCACTAAAAATAATAATAGCTATGGGTGCTGGTCTTCTGGGCTGTAACACCATGTGGTTTTGTAGGTTGGTAAAAGTATTCTGGAGAAATATGCTGTCTCTATCTTCAATCCTAAAGATGGAGACAGTATGTTTCTCCAAAATGTTAATCTACCTGCAAGTCTGTACGGTGTTACAACTCACAAGACCAACATAAAATGTAGGGTTCGTTGAAGAAGCTAGATGTTTCATTCATAGACAATGAATCTGGCCACTCACCTCTTTAATATCAAGGTGGAGTCTTACCTTCATTTCTTTCCCCCCCTTAATGGTGTGTACCTTATATCCTTTAAATTTTCCATGTTGTGGTCTTCAATAAAAACAAAAACAGGATCTTTACATTTTTCCAGAAATAAGTTAGAGCTGTGCAGGTAGGTGCACAAATGGTCAGTAGTTTGCACAGTGCTACAACTGCTGTATACCTTCATGGCAGGGCATAGTTGTACTGTGACTGAACTAAACATTCTCAATTCTGGATGTACCTTTGCCAGAGAATTCTTGAATTTGTAATCTTGTGCGGCTAGTAAAATGAGGTTAGTTTCATGTTTCACATACTAGGCTGGTTCATGCAGTGAAACATTCAAAGCCCAAAACCAAAATTGGCCTTGTGAGAGGCCTTTTGCTTGTTTGTATGTGGTGTTGTTTTTTGTTATATATTTTAGTCCATATTTGCATGTTTCCTTCCCAGACACCCTAAAGGTCCAGGGACTTGCATGAATGAATATTTATCTGCAGTGAACAAAAAGTACATTCCATGCAACTCACAAAACTTTTATCAAGTCCCATGAAAAGGAATGTTCAAATAGGGATGTAGGCAGGTCACAAGGGATAGTAATATATCTAAAGTTCTGGGTTGATTTTTGTTAATAAAGGTGTAATTTGTTACTGATAATTTTGTTGTACATTACAGGGTGAGATGGAGGTGACCCCAGCATGTTATGCTCATCTTTTGAACTTGCTCTTGTGTCTTGCTGGAGGGAAAGTTGCTGTGATACTTGAGGTGGGTGTTGGTATGAGAGGAGGATTGAATGGCAGGGAACAGGAAAGTGTAATGTTAGTTGGAGGCAATAGCTTCAGTCATTAAACATGTGAAAACATTTAAGTACTGAATTCCAGAAAAGAGAAACTGGAATGAATCTTCGAAACAGCTTTATTTTGCATACTTCTATATTTTGTTATTATTCATTATTATATTATGATGAGGTGAGACTTTTCCTTGTGGAACTGTGGCTGCTAATGGGCCCAATGTCAATCCCCCAAATGATACATGAGTGCATATGGAGCAATGGTGGAATGTTGTTTATATTATTTTATTGGCAGGAGAAACCAAGGGACTAGGAGATAAACCTATTGCAGTGACTCTGTCCACCACAAATCCCACATGGATTATCTTGTGCACAAACTCGGGCCTCCAGTGTGAGAAGCCATTGACTGACTGCCTGAGTTGTGGCACAACCATGTTGTTTATGAAAACAGTTGATGGCCATTTTTCTAAGTACTGGGCTTTGTTTACTGCTTGAAACACAGCATTATACTTTAATGTGTGTCTTTGCAGGGGGGTTACTGTCTGCAGTCCCTTGCAGAAGGAGCAGCATTGACTCTGAGAGCACTTCTGGGCGACCCTTGCCCTATTCTCCCGAGTCAGGGACAGCCCTGTGAAGGGTAAGTTATGCTGTGTTGTGGAATTGTGGACATTAAAGTTTTCTAATGCAGAAACCGTGAATGTTGACTCAGGTCTATGGTATTATATTTTCCTTGAGCAGTTCATAGGTTCATAAGAAATTGCCTATTATCATACCCGTGTTCACAAAGGTCAGGACCCAATCCTGAGCTACTCATCTCCTCACAGGTTATTCCTTTGCAGTCCATTTTAACAGTCTCTGCCTATGTACTCAAAGCACTCTCTTCTTTGTACATTTCTTGTATTTCTCATGAATCCTATACTTCTCACTTGTGTCATCGTTCTTGATATATAGCTCTAATAGTATTACGTGAAAATATTAAACTTTTCTTTATGCAGTTCTGACAGTATTATATAACCTGTAAAGCTTCCCTGTGAAATGTTCACAGTATTATGTAAAGTTATGAAGCTTTAAATCTTAATATTAGCACTAGATACATGCCATGATTCCTGATTTTAGAAAGACTTCACTATTGTGTTGTGTTTTTACAAATTCTTTCTAATTGTTTATTTTTTATTATTTGTATGTCCTTCAGAAGTAACTACTTACATTAGGAAAATAAACATTTTTTAAGGAAAGGGTTTTAAAAAACAGCTGCATGGTACCTGGAGCTTCAAAAAGTCTTTTCTTCAAAGAAACAGTTGCACAAAGAAACATTTAAAGTGGCTAATTAGGTGTCAAACATGATGTTATTAATTTACCATTACCTTTAACTTGTTAATCATATAATTAATTGGTAAATTAATAATTTAATAGAAATGTAATGTGACACAAGAAATACAAAACAGTTAATAAATAAATAAATATATATGTAATTAGATATTTTAATTCAGAACTACAGAGACTGACAAACAGAAATGCAGACACTAGACAAGCGTGCCATTGGTTCCTATAAGAAATTAAAATATGAAAAGATAAATACACATATGAGCCTTCATGAATTAGAATGCTTAATCAGTATCTTCAGCGTATTAACTAGTTATTCATGACAGCATTACTAATTAGTATTCAGAATATATTTTAAAATTATGAATTCTTTTTGTAGGTGCCAGAAATTTATTGCAAGAACGCAATTTGAAATTGTTCCAGGATACGGGATACAATTCTCAATGTGATCTACGCTCACCGAGATTTCTGGCAGTGTTACCAATTCCAAGACAAGTACAGTGCTCACACTGTACATGATTTATCAAACAAGAAATCATTGGGACGAGAAGAGCACCACATGCCATCTGTGAGGTTCCTGGAGTCTGATGACAAACCAGAATGGTTTCCCACACGAAACTGCTACCCAGTGCAGAGCCAGCAGTTTGTGCATGATGTAACCACACGGCTAAATTTTCTCATAGCAAACACAAAGCTAACATTCGCTTCACACAGAGTCTGCCTTGTGTACGATGAACGAATGATGAAGCACAAAAACATTGCTGATCCGTGAGTTGTGATGTACCTGACTTTTTAGTCAGCATTTCATCTTTTAATAGAAATTTATTGCCGGTATAATTTGATTTATGTGATTCTCGCATTCCTAGAAAATGCTGCTTAAAGTGAAAGCATGTGAATTGAAAACATTTTGTTGTATAACCTAAGTTAAAAGTTAAAAATGGTAATTGCATTATGATCTTGATATTTTTCAATGGTAATCTTGGTGGCTAATTTCTTTGGGCTATTTCAAAGTGAAGTAACATTATATTATTGCAGAAGAGATGTTTAAGTAACTATGACATTTAATTAAACTCTGCTGAAATATGTGTACATGCAAGCTTCCACATGGGATATGAAGATGTCTGACTTCCAAAATTTGAGTGAAACACAGAGCATGGAACAAACTGCTTATGTGTGAGAATGTGGCACATAAATAGAGGATGTTCCTAGAAAATTAAAGCATGCAAATTTAAGCTTATACCAGTATTAGGAGCACTGTTTGTTGGTGTTGTACTTTACATTTTACTGCCAGTAAATGTGCTTATAATATTAGGTTTCTATAATTTGTTTATTATTTTCATTCCAGCTAAATATGCTGGATGAGCTTAATATAGTTTTAATTTATTACTAAAAGAATAAAAAATATTAACAATGCTAGTATGCTAGTGTAGATCCCATCTCAAAATTTTAATGTTTGCCACACTGGTATTGTTGACTGGAGAGATTTGAAAGGTACCAAGGAGACAGGTTGGTGTATGCTGTGCTCAGCACTACCATCATAATAATACGAGGTGCGATCGGAAAGGTTCAAGACTGTGTCAATAGAGGGCGAACCGGATGTAGTACGAGCTTCTGCCTTTAGGGGGTGCGGCCTACATTCATAATGAATCAGCGTGCCAGCCGGCATCATCGAATTAGCATTTGTTTCTTAGTTACGGGCGTTTCGGTAGTGCATTACCCCGACCCTCCTGCGATTTCGGAATGGCGGCTTTTCATGAACAAATCAAATTTTGCCAAAGACTCACCAAAACGGCTACGGGAACCTCTGAAATGCTAAAGCAAGCATTTGGGGAGTCTGCAATGGGTCGTGCCCAAACTTTTGTGTGGCCTTCACGTTTTAAAAATGGCCGAACCTCTGTCGATGATGACGAGCGGTCTAGACGACCATCTTCGAGCACAACGCCCGAAAATGTTACGAAGATTCGGCAGGCCATTCACGAAGATCGACGTCGTACCATCAACGACTTGTGCGACATTGTTGGGATAGGCCATGGGACCTGTCAGCTGATTCTAAAGGAAGACCTCCACATGCGACGCATCGCAGCCAAGTTTGTGCCAAGGCTTCTGTCTGAGGACCAGAAGCAGAATCGACTTCTCGTTTGTCAGGAGCTCAAAGATCTTGCCGGATCGCCGGATTTAGCTCCATGTGACTTCTTCCTCTTCCCCAAGATGAAAATTCAGCTAAAGGGACGGAGATTTGAGACGATAGAAGAGATTCAGGCAGAATCGCAGATGGTGCTTGACAGGCTGACAAAGAAAGATTTCCAGGGATGCTTCCAGGCTTGGCAGCGGCGCTGGGATCGTTGTGTTCACTCCCAGGGGAACTACTTCGAGGGCGATGGATGAATTTAATACCTGAGATAAGTGTACGGGTTTTTATAGGCGCAGTCTTGAAACTTTCCGATCGCACCTCGTAACATGTCTTTGTTGGATGCATTATGAGCAGTTTGTATGAGTGACAGTGGAAGAAGATCAGTGATTATCTGCTTTGCTATCCCATTGTATAAATCAAGCCATGTAGCCAAAATCACTGTTATGAAGTGCAGAAACCAAGTAAATTAATGTGGACAGTAGGTACATCTTGATTGACATTTTGCCTGATATGCTTTCAGAGGTCATCCAGAGAAGCCAGAGCGAATCTCAGCCATATTTTCCAGACATGAAGAATATGGGTTGCTGAAAAGATGCCACTTGCTGAAGGTAAACATATATCAAAAGCTCTTCAAGTTGGCATGATGCATTTTAGGATTGTGAACAATTGGGCACTGTAGGTTTTAAAATCATTGTTTTTTCCAGTTGGTGTGTCCCCCTTTAAACTTTTCATATTAAATGACGATAATTCGTCATTGAACATCAGAACATTAAAATATTCCATTCATTACCACACTGAAAGTAGCTTATTTCCCAAGATCCATCATACAAAATCTGAAGATCCCACATTGAATGCAGCTAGAATTCTTCCCATACAAACTTAACAAAAATTCATCAGTTGGCATATATAATTTATGTTTGTAATTGAATCCATGAATGGACCGACACATGTCACTAATTTGGTTGTCAGGAAGCATCCGGGTTTGTTCGGAAGTGTGAGCATTGTGGTTGGCATTAGCAGTGAGTTCAGTGCTTGTTTTTGTGATGCAGGCACGCTCTGTGTCAGAGGAGGAACTGCTACTTCTGCACACCAAGGAGCACATCAACCTGATGCAGGAGACAGCTAGCATGAAGTTGCGGGACCTTGCTAAAAAACAGGATGATTTTCGCTCCATCTACCTACATCCAGGCTCCTATCAGGCGTCCTGTTTAGCCGCAGGTTCCGTTCTTCAGGTAAGGATGTGTAGGTGTCAGGTGTGGTGAAGAGCAAGATTAACACTCGGTAAATACGGGGAATGTTTTGGACAGCTAATGAATATCTCTTACTGAGGAAAGATACTGTGCCATGGTGTTATTTAATTATATGATTAATCAAGGAGTTAGGTAGTTGATTAATGAGTTATGTATTTAGTCATGCAATTGATCTAGTCAGTCATTTAGCTTGTTATCTTTTCCAAGACTTTTGTGCTAAAGTGTTTTCTTTATTCTCATATCTACTAAAGTTTCTCATCAACTCTTAAAGTAAAGTAAAACCTTTTTAATGTGACTTTAGAAATTGCTAATGTTCAGTTGAAAATTTATTGTAAGTTCAAGAGGAACTTCATTCTGTTGTTAACTGTCTAATAAACTGATATACAAAATGCATGATCGTGTTAAGCGCTCGTTTTGTCAATTACTGTATAAATTTTATAGGGGCATATAGTGAGGTCTGAAATTCATAAATACATTAGAAGACATAAATTGACCCTTTTTGATTAATTTGTTATCCTTTCCAGTGTGAGGGCCAGTTTTCTTCTTATGAGTGTTACAGGACAGAATCCTGTGCTTGTAGAGGTCTTTGTATTCCTGCGTTTATTCTTTGACTGGTTTAATGTGTCATAATTTTATTGATAAGATGGATAATATAGCAGCATATTTTTTCAGCATGTTCGTACTAGTTTCTTCTGTAGGGCATAACATCTGATATTGATGAAATTTTTAATGCTGTCATTTTTACTTGATTTGTTTTATTGTTTGAAAGAATGTAACTTGTTATCTTATGAAACACTTCTGGTTATTTTAATAGTCTCTCTTCAGCCTTCCTTGTGGTTGACACTTCAGTTCCATATATTGATTGTCTAGCAAATGATTCTTAAATTTATATTCTTGTGTATTGAGACTAATGTTTTGAAGTTGTGGTTATAATACTTAGAATTTTGATATAACTGTTCCTGTATTCATATCTTTATGAATGCACTTTTCCATTGGCCAGCATAAAATGCAACTGATATAAGAAGGAGGAGGAAGAGATAAATGCACATTTATGTGTACAGAGAAAAATATTACTTGCTTTAAAATATTTTTACATTGTAAAATTAAATTCAAAATTCATTCTTTCATTTACTTATTCATTCATCCGTTGCAGATGTCATGAAGCAGTTTGCTTTTGCATTCATTATATTACTGTAAATTCTGTTTATAAGGTGGTGGACAGTGTTCTGAATGGAGAGAGCCGTTCTGGAGTGGCTATTGTGCGACCACCAGGCCATCATGCGGAGGAAGATGAACCATGTGGCTTCTGCATGTTCAACAATGTATCATTGGCTGCAAAGTATGCCATTCATGTCCATGGACTGAAACGGTGAGCTGTAAGCTGTAAGATAACACATTACCACATTTTACTTTACTTTGCAGTTGCTGAGAAATTCTTGAGGATTTGAGAACAATGAAGGCTCTTTTAAAAAATGAATTTACGTAACCGGGTTAATGACGAGGTGTTATTTTAAATGACATAAGTGGTATGATTTCACTGTAAAATATCTTATGCCCAATTTTTTGTCTATTTTCACCCAACATTTTAATAGTGGTTGTGGTAATATAACAGAGATCTTATTTTCTTATAGAATTCTGCTGCTGGACTGGGATGTTCACCATGGTAATGGAAGTCAGCATATATTTGAGGCAGATCCCAGAGTTCTATACCTCTCGATACATCGCTACGACAATGGCAGCTTTTTCCCGGGCTCTTCAGATGCCAACTATAATGTGGTGGGAACTGCAAAAGGGGAGGGATATAACATTAATATTCCCTGGAATAAGGTAGGCTGAGTGTAGTATCATGTCATTAAGTGCTAGCTTGGGATTTCCAGAAATTATAAAATATCAACCCACAGGACGATGCTCCAAAATATATGAAAATTTTGTTTCAAATGGTCTAAATGGCCATAATATCGGTATACACGATGAGAGAGAGCGAAATTTTTGTGTGATAACAAGATGTGATCTGTTTAAGTTTAAAAGTATCTCTAAGGTGTAATAATTCATTTTGGGTTCATAGAAAGTGAAGAACGGGAAGTTGACACTAAATTAGATTAAAGGATGCAACTTATTTTTTAAAAGTTATGCATGTGCAGAGGAAAATTCCTCTACCACTATCCTGACTGGGGTTTTCCTCAATCTCATATCACACATTAGGCTAGTTCCACTTTCTCCCATCTGCCTTTCATAACCATTCTGTAGTTTCTCATGTATACAGTTGACACAGTGTCATTAAACAAAGAATAGTTGCTTAATTCTATATGTCGTCACCTCATCTTGAACTGTAAAGTGCTTCACTTCAATGCATTGTTTTTCCATGTTATATCAGACTAATACAGGCTTCCATTTGTAGAGTGGGATGAATGATGCAGATTATCTGACAGCTTTCTACCAGGTGGTTCTCCCCATTGCTTACCAGTTCAATCCTGAGCTCGTGCTTGTGTCCTCTGGGTTTGATGCTTGTATTGGGGACCCACTTGGAGGTAAACAATTATGTATAATAGTCTATCCAGTCTATGTTTTGTTTCATGTAAAGTAGTACATTATTACTAAGCAGTTTATTTTTTTTGAGAGGGTTTGAAATAATCACTTAATAAACATCCGTTCCATTATGCAGTTTTGCAAATACAATTGCGCTGTTGACATGAATATTTGCTCCTTCAGTCTCAAATCCTGTTTTGTTATGCCCATCCTTCAGACACTGACTGCAGTGTATTATTTCCAGGGTACAATTCCATGTGTCCAGCTGTAAATTTGAAAGTTCAGATTTTCATAGTTTTTGCTTGAATTGCGGTCAGTTACCGCATTTGCTAGATATGTTTTTTCAGCCGAACTGTATTGTTCCAAAAAAAACTGTCTAGATTTGAATTATAGATTTAGGAGCTTTAGGGCTATGGAAACATTTCAAAACATTGCAACAATTACACCATCCATAATGTTTTAGTGTAGTTGAATATTTTGCATGACTTATAACTTTAATCAGCTATAAAAATGTAATTTATTGCAGGATCAATATTTTGAACATTTCTTTGTTGTGTAATACATATGCTCAGGCATTTAATTACTGACTTTCAACATTTTGTGCTTCTTACATTGGACACAGAGGGATTCTCTTGTAAGTGTTATTCAATTATGAAAGTAGCTTTTAGTGGTGAGAATTTGGCCATCATGTGAAACATTTTCATATCTGTGATTTCAGGCTGCAAAGTTAGCCCTGAAGCATATGGTCACTTTACCCACCTGCTGACTGCATTAGCAGGGGGCCGTGTGATCATCTCTTTGGAAGGGGGCTACAACGTCAATTCCATTTCTCATGCCATGTCCATGTGCACCAAGGCTCTACTAGGAGACCCTCTACCCCCTCTGGTGCCTGGTCGTGCAGTCTGTCCCAGTGCGGTCACATCCATTAAGAACGTAATTAGAACACAAGCAAGATACTGGTCAGCACTTTGTTTTCAGGTGGCTCTGCCCCAAGAAAGAGTTCTTCCTACAGAGCCATTGGACAATAAGTCGAAAGTAGTATTGAATTTGAGTAACCCACATCCAGAAAAATATGAGGGAGTGCTGACTAAACTTGATCATAAGGAAGAAATTGAGACAGACAGAAAAGTTTCCTGTGGATCTGCAAAACAGCATGTTGAAGTCACATCAGTTGACATGTATCATACATTAAGTGAATCTTTCAGTAAACTCTGTGTAGATGACAAACAGATTGATCCTCTCTGTTTGGACATCAACAAAAATCCTGTGGGACTGTCCAGTGACTCAAGTCCCTTAAGTTCATCCATTGATACAGAGAGTCAGATGTGGTCCAAGTCAAGTTCTAATAATTTTAAAGAATTATCACCTGATGATATACCTCTTTATAAGTCTAAGGAATCACCAGTTTCCAATAAAATAGAGATCTGTAACTCATCCCCTGTCAAATGTGATAGTTCACCTTCAAAGCTGAGCTTCTCAGATGATGGATACAAATCAGAAGAGCAACATGATACTTCAACATTCCATGAAGGGACTGTGATTTCACTGTCTGTCGTCACAGAAGAACATGGCAGAATAAATGCTGCAGACAGTGGTGAAAAAAGGAGCACTGACCTTACAGGCAATGATCAGCAAGGGCCAAGTAGGGGCACAGGGGAAAATGCAAGTGGGACCAATCAGATCTCAGGCCAGCAGACGCTAGCCAACTATCTTTCTGAAAATATGCAGGTAAGCTTCATTTTTTCCTTCATTTTATATGGAGTGCATTGAATGTTTGTGATTTTAACTGAGCCAGAAATATTTGTTATGGTATAAGTATTCTTTCATTTGTTTAGTTATTCAGCTGTTATGAAATGTGAAGGTTCATCACCATGTTCACAAGTACCCACTATACTGAGTAAGAGTTTTCCTGCCTTTTCCATGCTGTCAGCCAATAGCAGTTCATGTATCAGTATTTTAGGAAAATACTAGTCTTATGTGTGTTGGATACAGATGCTGTTAGCCGGAGAGATGTTTGCTGTGGTACCAATGCGCAGCTGTCCACATCTTGTTAGGGTTCAGCCTGTTCCAGAGTGTGGAATAGACTATAATAGTCCATGTGCAGAATGTAGGTCTGTGCAGGAAAACTGGGTATGCTTGGTGTGTTATACGGTGAGTATTCAAATATTTAAAACAGATGTGCCCATGGAATGTCTGTCACTTTATTTGAAGGGGCAGCATGTCAGTTCAATCATATTGTCTGCAGGTTCACTGTGGCCGCTACATCAGTGAGCACATGATGCTACATGGCCAAGAAACATCACATCCTTTGACCCTCAGCTTTTCTGATCTTTCAGTCTGGTGCTATGGGTGTGAGGCATATATTGACAACCAGGTGAGTTGGATTTTGATTAAATTTGATATTCGGATGTCTACACTAAAACTGGAATGATTTGATTTTGGCCTGTAAAGGTTCAGTGTGCTCAAAATCAACCTAATCATATTTATAAAAAATGAGACATGATAAAAATAAACATTTCATTATGATCTATTAAGTTTTAAAATATATTTCTCTTTAATGTGTGTTCAATGAAATACAAGCAATGTGAAAATGTTATAAATTTATTTTTTCACATCACTTTTGTCTGTAACTAACGAACATTTTGTGTGTGGAAGATTCTTTATGCAGCTAAGAATGCCGTTCATAGAAGCAAATTTGGAGAAGATATGCCTTGGTCATATGGTGATACAAATCCTGCATTTCCAGTGTGATTGAAGGCAGAAGAGTTTGGTGACTTTGTGACACTACCAGTAATATTAATACTTTCACAATTTTCCCATGAAGAGAAAAACACTGTTAACTTTCCTGTGTAGAATCAGTTAGCTTTTAGTACAGAAAACATTACATAAATGCAAAATTACTTGAGCACCAAATGTCTCATGGGACCTACAGTTTATTTTTTAAGTTAAAATATTGTAAAATACTTATCATCTAAAATTTAAAAATGCAGACATAAGTTGTGGTATGTCATTTAAGCAGAATAATTGTTTTTTCTATATCTGTTTATATTAAGTCACAAAAAGATGTTTTATTAATTTTTAGTTATATTCAGAATACTTTAATCTGTATTAATACAGTATGTAACTCATCTTGTATAAAAAAAATTGTCTTAGCTTGTAGCACATTCCTGTGATTCAGATGGGGTTTGACATACAGAAACATTTATAAATGTGGTCAGTCTTCAGACTGGACCGTATCAAATAAAGCAATTTATTCTTAACAGAAAGTGTTTTCTCTTGTGGCTGGGAGTCGGTGCATTTATATACTTTACAGTGTAACTATCTGTATATTAGTCTTCATTAAGCAGTTGATAATTGTTCTTCTGATCAAGGAATCTCCTTTTAATGTGGATTTCTTTCTGTACATTAACAATGCTACAAGGTTGATTGACTCATACAATTGGAAAAGATTACCATTTCATATGCAATCCACGAAGATGAGTATATTATAGTTAAAACATATATTAACAATTAACAATGTAAACTACATTGTTTATATTATAAAAGGCAACTGTGTTGGATACAAAATTTAGTGTTCTGTCCTGGTCTGGTCAGATTTATGCAAGTTTTTTGTTATCCATAATTTAATCTGAGCATCTTGTAACTAGGATTCAAAACTCTGGTTTGGTTTCTCAAGAAACAAATAAGTACTACGCATTATCAAAATCAATTTATTTTATATTCTCTGCATTAATTAAGCGGTACAAATGAAATTAATTTAGATTAAACAGATCATCCTTCTGCAGTGCAAAGTTACAAGTAAAGCCTTTGGCAGCAATTTTAATACCTTCATTAGAATCTGGAATAACTGAATTATCATTTCCACATATTAATACATTTATGTCAGTCTATTATTATCACTGTATTCTCTGTGATGGAAACATCTGATTTTAATTCTTACAATAGCAAAGAACTGAATATTAATAAAAGTATCAAATATTAAGCCAGAAGTTCTAGCAAAGGAATTAATATGAAGAATTAGCAATGAAGACAAAAACAACCAGTGCCAAATGCAAAATAAAGCTTGACAAATGTGATGCATTTATTCTCTCATTGATTCCTCTGTTGGTTGTGCAGTTCTGTTTTCTCCTTCCTTATCTTTCTTCTTTGAGCCTGAGACAATATCATCAATCCTCAATAGTAAGATAGCAGTTTCAACAGCTGTCTTGTAGATCTGAAGTTTAACAGACAATGGTTCCCAGATGCCAAGCGTACGCATATCTGCAAGTTCACCAGTTTCTCCATCGATTCCCCAAGTAATTTTACCAGTGGCATGTTTAGCCCGTAAAGCTGTCAGTGTACGAATTGTATTTGTGCCACAATTTTGGGCAAGAGTGCGGGGAATGATCTCCAATGCCTCAGCAACAGCACGGTATGGCCACTGTCCAATTCCCTGCACAACTTTCGCCTTCTCAGCTAACTTCTGTGCCACAGCCATCTCAACAGCTCCACCTCCAGGCACCAGTTTGGGTTCTATCAAAATGTTTCTAGCAACATGCAGAGCATCTTGGAGGTTTCTTTCTGTTTCATTCAGCATGTCCTTGCTAGCTCCACGTAAAAGAATGGTGCAAGCTTTAGGGTTCTTGCATTTGGTGATGAAACAGAAATACTCATCACCAAGTTTTTTGATTTCAAAGAGTCCAGCACCTGTACCCACATCTTCCTCCTTCACCTCCTCAGTACGGTTAACGATAGTTGCCCCACAGGCCCGTGCAATGCGGTTGTTGTCTGATTTGCGGACACGGCGTATAGCTGTGATCCCTGCTTTTAGAAAAAAGTGCTGTGCGAGATCTGAAACTCCTTTCTCTGTGAAAACTATGTCAGGTTTCACTGCAATCACCTCATCACATATTTTCTGAACATGTTCTTCTTCCAACTGTAACATACGGGTGAAGTCCGATTCTTTCAGAATTTCAACATTTGTCTGGCTCTCACCCTTCTTGTATTCCAATGCACAATCTAGTAGTACAATGCGTGGGTTCTCAATGTACCGTCGCATTTTTGGGTGTGTTACATCTTTGTTTACCATCACACCATGCAGCACAGTTGATTCTTCAATACTACCTCCTGGTATCTTCTCCACCTTTGCGTATCTCTTAATATCTATCTCACGACGACCACCTTCCTCCAGCATCACTGTCTGAACAGCATCAAGAGCGATAGAACATGCCAAATCTGACCACCGTCCAATAAACTTTGTTCCCACACAAGCCTTAATCACTTGCAGAAGTTTCACACGGTCATTAGGATCCAAGGTAATGCTGATGTCATCGTGTAACAGAGTAATTGCGTCCTCCAATGCTTGGCGGTAAGCTCTGATGATGACTGTAGGGTGCATTTGTTGGGCTAAAAATTGTTCTGCAACTCCCAACATTTCACCAGCCAATACAATTACAGATGTTGTTCCATCTCCAACTTCCTCATCCTGCGTGCGAGCTATCTCAATCATTGATTTACCCGCCGGATGCTGTACAGTAATTTCACGCAGAATTGCATTTCCATCATTTGTCATTACTATACCACCCATAGGATCCATCAACATTTTCAGCATGGCTTGTGGTCCAAGACACGTTCTGATCACATCGGCGATAGCTTTACCAGCGCCAATGTTTTCCAATTGAACTTTTTTACCTGAATCACGTTTAGTATTCTGACTAAGAACTAGGATTGGTGCTGCTCCTCCACCAAACATAATTGAAATATATTTTTGACCGTTATTAGACAATGAATATAACTATCCCACAACACCACACACCTTTTCTATTCTTCCAAGACCGTGATCTTGCAGTGTAGCCAACATTGCTTGGTGAAATTCCTTGTCATATACTAAATTTACTTTGCATATAAAATGTTACTTAAGTTTTTTATTGCAATCGACTAAATTATTTATTAAGAATAGAAATGTAGACTTAATTAAAATATTAAGTAACAAAAAGTTTCAAATCCTGTATTTGTTCGTATGTGCGTCAACGATTGGAAACAATTGAATAACTAATAACTAGATGGCTTACCGAACCCGAAGGTTCATCATCGAATTAACCAAAGACCCCCACCGGACCCTGTCCTGGGCCAACAAAATCCATTCTCCTGCAACTCCTATCTCCCATAGATCCCGCCTGACATTATCCTCCCATCTACGTCTAGGTCTCCCCAGCGGTCTCCTCCCCTCAGGCTTCCCTACCAATACCCGGTGCACACCCCTTGTCCCATCCATGCGCGCTACATGCCCCGCCCATCTCATTCTCCTCGACTTAATCACCCTGACAATATTGGGGGAGGAGTACAGATTTTTAAGCTCATCATTATGCAGTTCTCTCCATGCCCCATCGTCTTCTCTCCTAGGCCAAAATACCCTACTCAATACTCTATTCTCAAACACCTGCAATCTGTGTTCCTTCCTCTGAGTGAGAGACCAGAAACAATTGAATACACATTTTTAATTGAAATAGAGCAAGTTGAGAGCACACAGCACAAAACTAACGGGGCTACGTTTCCTACCATTAGCAGCAAAAGTTACGCATCTTTTTTAATTTGTGCAAGTGAACGCGTTTTCACCGTCATTGATTTTATATACTTGCAGAAAAGGTAAAAGTGTACAATTATTCATGTCCATATCTACGTATTCTCTGCATTCTATGTATCGGTTGTAGAATATGGCAGGAATTGTGTTGGTGTAAGCTGTGGGCAGAAATGCCTTATGAGTATCCTTCGAAGTGAAGTATATGCGTTTTGCTGTTCTTTAATATTTGTTGGCATTTGATAGGTTAATAATAAAAGACAATAATGCCAAATTTTTATAAAGTTGAAATCAACAGAACGGAATGGGAAGTTCCACAACGCTATCAGATGCTAACCCCGGTTGGTTCAGGGGCTTACGGCCAAGTCTGGTGAGTTAAGATCCACATTTGAAACCTTGTTGAAGCCTGTGTCTGTTTTAAGTAATGTATGTTGATAAATATCCATATTATATTATTTTTCTGTTACTGTAGGACACCTTGTGATTTGTCATTATTTGGATACGATGTTTGTCATTAAATTGTCGTTACAGATTTCAATTTGAAGATCTCTTTCCCAGTTGAGGCAATTCCATGTTTCGTTTCGTAACGATTTATCGCCTATATAGTTCAAGGTCGCACATACATATTATACTTTGTTGTATTAGCACTTGAAATTAAGGGCTCCACCAAAATTACAAAATAATCCTCTAATATTGTAAGGGAGTTGTCAGAATTGCTCTTATATATCTCTTTAATGTTGCACTGTTCTGATTCTCAGATTCTGAACTGTAACTTAGAATAAAAGTAACTTTTATGCAATCACATGTGAATGTTATGCAGAGAGCTGCCCACTTTTTCTGATCCTTGGGTGAATTTTGGCCTAATTTAATTCATTGTTTATTCTGTCCAGAATACCCCTTCCTAGGTTTATCAGAATCTGCCTGTAATTATTCTTCCGGTTTGTCTTTCCTGCCATACTTAAGTATCATTTATTTTCCTCTTATTTATGTGTCTGGACATCTAAGATGTAAATCATACTGTTATGGATTTTACTGACTTATCTTTACAGTTATTCTGATCTTTAGTTTCTTAGTTTGGCTAATTCTAGCATTCTTGTCAATATTCTCATTTTCATTAACTACTTGACATATTTGTTCAGTTAATTACGTTAATGTACAGGAATATTAGTTGTGTGACAAATTGATATAATACTGTGAGATGAGAATTGAGCAAAGGAGCCTGAGTTTGGACTGCACACATGTGTGTATGTGTGCATACATGCACATGTAAATGTGTCAGTAAAATTTAGTATTTACCCATGTGTTTATATTTACTTCAGCTCTGCTGTAGATAACAAAATGCATGTGAAAGTGGCTATCAAGAAACTTGCTCGACCATTTCAGTCAGCTGTTCATGCTAAACGAACATACCGAGAATTACGCATGTTGAAACACATGAACCATGAAAATGTAAGTAAATTTAATTTGATTTATTTTCTTGTTATTGACAAAGTAACATTATTTAACAATGTTGTTCACAGATTAGAAGATAATAATATTAAATGGATCTTGAGGAATAGTTTGTGGTATATCTGAGATTTGAACTAGATTCCTCCAAAACAAGTCTAACATGTCACTTCTGTAACAGATCAAACATAGCACTGTTCTCACTTTCCTTATGTACAAAGTTACAAATGTGGAATTTGCAACTACTGTTCCATGCCTGGTATAAACACATTCTTTTCTTTCAGGTGATTGGACTTTTAGATGTGTTTCATCCCTCTACCTCACTAGATGATTTTCAACAAGTGTAAGTAAACCATAGTTACTTGTCTAGTTAGCCCTTTTATGCCTATTGGTGTTGTTTAATTAAGGAACTCCATAGAGCATATCCTTTCTTGAGAATGTTTATGTTGTTGGAAAGTCCATGTGGTGGAAATTTAATAAAAACAATTTTTTTCAGTTATCTTGTAACACATTTGATGGGAGCAGATCTAAACAACATAGTGAGGACACAGAAATTGTCTGATGATCATGTTCAGTTTCTCATATACCAGATCCTCAGAGGTCTGAAATACATCCACTCAGCGGGCATAATTCACAGGGTAAGGACTAGTTGTGATTCTAAACAGGTTCAAAGTTGAAGAGTGCTGTTTTTAAAATGTTTTCATGAATTAATTTCTAAATATAGCAGAAAAGTGATGGATTCAAATATCGCCCTTAATGCAGTTCTTTTTCATTCCTTTGTATAAATCGGTAGTTATGTGGGATACAAAATATTGTTTTATGTGTATATTTTACAAATGTTTAAATTCAGTCATTATTGTAATACTCCTTTATTCTTCTGAGTTGTGGTGGTTACCATTGTTTGTTCGTTGATGTGATTACTTTTCATGTTTTTGTACCTGCATGCCCTATTCACCATCAGTTTTTTACAATTTAAACTAATCATTTAGCCAGTAAAGCTAAGCTAAATGGAGCTTATGTAATTGCAGGACTTGAAACCATCTAATATTGCAGTCAATGAAGACTGTGAATTGAAGATTCTGGATTTTGGTTTAGCAAGGCCAACAGAGAATGAGATGACTGGATATGTTGCAACGCGATGGTATAGGGCACCAGAAATTATGCTCAACTGGATGCATTATAACCAAACAGGTAGATCAAACAAATTCTGTTTATTTTGTTCCTTGCTGAAGTGCCTGTACTCAGGCATGTTCTGTACTGCTTGAAGTTGTTTGTGATTTTACACAGTCCAAATGAATCCAAGGGTGTTACAAGTAGGTAATGGCTGATTCATCAGCTGTTCTTGACTTTCTTATAAATTTAATGAATTTGAATGACATTTGTATTTTTTTGGCATGCGAATGAAATGACCTTTACTCCAAGACCAGCCAAGTGGCAGTTCAGAGATGACGCTTATAAATTGTGGTCAAGGGTATGATAGTGTGTTTCTTGGTCATAGCTATTGCAAATCTGATTGGGTGGTGACAGACGAGTATGGAATTGTGGTGGAATGATGGTTAGGAGGGGTGAACTCAGAAACTATCTTTGAGAAAGGCTTGGTTCACTACCACTTTATCCATCATGATTCTCACTTGAAGTCATCTGGGATTGAACCCACGTCTCTGCATTAAGAAGCCACTATGTAGCCAACTGATATATGGCACAGTCCTTCGTGTCATGTACCAAGTGTTTAAGGAATTAAAAACATTTTATAAGTTTAATTGCGCTTCATCTGATGTATGATTTAAAATTAAATGGAAGAGACCAAAAGGAAATTTGCTAACACTAAATGTTATTCAGATTTTAATATGAAACATGCAGATTAATATACAGACAATATGGCTTTCTTATTATGTGTTCATGTCATACTGAAATTATGGAAGACAAAAAGATATGTGAACCAAATATAAAGAATAAACCTTACACAAGGTGATATTTAGAAAGAAATTTGAAGAGATGTAACAAAAATATATTCATGAGTTCATTTTTGACTTGAACTGTGATGGATGGTGGTGGCATGAGAGAGAAGTTATAACAAGGTGGAAGTTTGATGATTTCTGAATACTGCTGGAACTGTTGCATCTGGATAGCACACTACATTTATTTGCAGAAGTAAGGTACATCATAAATTTCTTGAAATTATCGATGTAATTTAGTACAACTTTCTGTTAACAGTTTTTACGTGTTTTTTACACAAAACAGATGGTTAATCATGTCTCATATTTACCTTATAGTCTGTTTCTTATATCTTGTCCAGTAGTCCCATCCCATGATACATCTCAGAACCTCATTTTTAGGAACTTCGAATTTTCTTTTCATCTCATTTCCCAGACAAGAAAGCTAGCTCAGAATGTGATTGTACCTCTGTGTGCAATTTCTGTTATCTAAAACCCTTGTTATGACACCACGCATTAAATGAAACTCCAGTTTAGTGGGCCTGAGATATCCATGATTAATTGGTTCGTTAAAAGTGTAACTGAAAAGGAAATGACAGTTGTGATGCAATATACTCGCATGCTGTAATGGTAATTCATTCCAGAGAAATCATTAACACTAATCTCATTTTTTAGGTAGATAAACACTAGTAAAGACTTTCAGAATCTGTATAAAGTTTCAATTTTGTTTCCAAAATGGGCACTTACCTCTCTCATTTGACATGAACACTGTTTGTTGTTAAAGTATTGTAAGACACAAAATTCATTGAGAAGTGTTTTGAAAACCTCTCACTATGTGTTCCTGGTACACTGATGCTGCTGAGTGACAGGAAGTGATGTGCATGACACATGAGACAGGAGGAAACATGTAGCAGTATTATCTGGAATAGAGATAATAGAGATGCTATTAAAATTTTATTTTATTATCAGAGAAATGTATATGATTGTGTTTTTCATGTGAGGAATCACAGTCTGACATATGAAAATAATGGTTTTAACCCTTCAGGATGCAGTGGTAACAATGTGTACCATCTGCTTTGACATTTAGTGGTTTTGCATTTGGTGCACACAGTATATTTATGGGTTTCATAGGATTCTCAGAAGAAACAGCTATTATTTTCTTAAACAGCATTATCCAATTGATCTTTATAATTGAATCAAACTATATTTTCTTTGAACTAGGATCTAAATATTTAAATATTATTTAGATGTACTTTAACTTCAAAGGGTTAAATAGCTAACAGCGGATATGAAAAGCTACAGATTGGGAAGCCGGCAGATATTGAGGGCGTGTGCTATTTTTTTATTGCAAGTAAGTTGAGATATTTTTTGATATATTTAATTTCATGTTCTGTGTTGTGTGTAGTGGACATCTGGTCGGTAGGTTGCATCATGGCAGAACTTCTTACTGGGAGAACATTATTTCCAGGAACAGATCGTATCCTTTAGACCGTGAAATTTGTTGATATCCTGTACTTTGTTAGTTGGACAGCACAAAGGTAATGTTCATGTTTCCTCACCTTGGTCTGTTTTGTTCATTTGTATGAAGTTTGACTGCAGTGAACTAGTGTGCATCCTTATGCACGGAAATTTGGTGGTGAGGGTTTGTACGTGTTGCAGAATGATGAAACTTTCGCTGTGCTACATGTCTGGCATATGGGGATGTTCTGAATGTTGGTCAGTTTTGGAAAGTGTGTTCAGTCATTTCTTTAAACACATTTAGAAGTGCTGTTGGTTTTTCACTACCTGAAAGGGATATTTTGAAACCAAATATTGGGTAAGTGTAAGACATTGTTGGAGAACAGACAAAGATGTTGGCATTCTCTTACATACAGTATTTCCCTGATAAATTAGTAGATATAAAGTATTTTCCATTTCTGAAGTTTGAAATTTAGCCATAATGCTTTTTAGTGTAACAATATCATTTCCCATGTAACAAGTTTTATATAGTTTTTCCACCTTAGAAGTACCTATATCAAAATTTTAAAGTAAACTAGTCACCTGATGTATTTTAAGACATTTTTCTAAAATTAAAATGGCATTCCTAATTTATTATAATTTGCACATGCAAATCTGGATGCCTTTACATAACAGATGCATTGGATTAAATACACAACTTTTGTGCAAGACTTTATAATAGTTCACATTAATTGAGTGTGATCAATTTTGACATAAAACATTAATTTTCTGCCTGTTTGATCCATGTTACTCTTAGTTTTTTCTTTTTGTTTGTCTTGTTAGATTGTGTTGTAAGTAAATCTAAGAAATATATAAGGTGCAAGAAGGTGGAAATTTTCTGTGATGTAATTAATGGCTTGATACTCAGGGTAGTCTGATGAATTTCAGGGCATGAATCCACAAAGGTTGAAGTGTTGAAGATTTAGCATATACCTCATGTACTTGAGGGATACAAGCTGTGTTAAATTTTCAGTACAGATGAATGTAAGTTATTCTGTCTTCACGTGGTTAGTGCAAGTAAATTTTGTGTGTTTGTAATTACCCATAGTTTAATCTTTTCATAACAATACTGGGCAAGACTGAAAACAAAACACACTTTTTTAACTTCAGGTTACTTTTAAAATGAGAAACGTCAATTCCTATATAGAAGATCTTTTGCTGCTGTACACCACAAGAGTTCTCCAGTAGACCAAATAAAAAAAATATATAAAAAAGAGCAACAGTTTCCAAAAAAAAGCCTACCACGATGAAGTAAAATAAAGGAGGTTAAAAATTAACCAAAGTTTTACGTTTCCCAAATAAGAAGTTTTTCCTTATAAGAATTTGTTACTTTGGTTTGTTGAAGAACTCAGCCTGCATTTTAAGTAAGAATGAGGAACTCAGCTGCTTTTTGTGTTTCACACAGTCCATTAAGTAGTAAGTATTTGTATAAAATGGCTGGATTTACCACATTTTTACACTTTTTATGCTGTTTGTATATTATGAGTTGTATTTTTAATATTTCATACTAGTTTACATTTAGAAATGTACATAATGAGGTGTATCACAGTTTTTGCTTTTTGCCTGATATTACTTGGGTGACAAGAAAGATGGGGAGGCCATTACATACTGCATGCATGAGAAAGACTAGTATTCAAACTATTTGTTGCAGAACCGTAGGGGAAGAAACCAGGTTGGGAAATATACACGTAGATAACAAGATAATGATAAAATGAACTAGATTGAACTGTCTTACCATGTGTCAAGTGGCAGCCTTTTGTTAACACAGTGATGAACCTTTGGGATGTGTGGCAATGTGTATGTTATTGATCATTTGATGAACTGTCAGATACTGAAAGAAGATTTTGTGAGTTATATGTAGAATTATGCCACATATGAAGCAGTAATTGAACATATTGCAGTTTTATTCCACATTTTGCTAATCAAGTTGTGATGAAACTGATTAGGTTTGTATAGGTGTTTGGCATATTGAGTGGACTGCAGCTCTTCTCTTCATGTAGATATGAAGGTTTCTGAATTATCGTTTGTAATATTACATGTCTTTGGGAAACCCTGAAAGATGTCGTGATGGGCTTATTACTCATTCTGTCTGTTGCATGTTTGGGCATGGTCTGTATTCTTTCACTTCCACACTATTAGGGTTCCCAGCAACTTAAATTATCTTATCATAATACAAAATCAATAAATTATCCTTTATTGCCATTAATGTATTCAGACCTACAGTCTGAGATTTTCAGTGTGGCCTGGTGTTTCTATGTAGCAGTTGGTTGATTGGTCTCACAATGCAGTGTGATCAGATAACAGCATAGGAAATATTTGTAAAAACTGTTTACAAAAATTTTAGTATTTCAGAGTGTGCTCAAGCATATTGTTGCAAAACCTGCCTTTTGAGCAAGAATTGCTGACCTGCAGGAATAATCTTATGAATTTCCAAATGGGTCTTTGGCTGAGAACTCAGGTTTGAGTCTGCTGTATCCATTATGGTTTTTCTTTGTTCTTTCCTTTCCTTACCTGTAACAAAGTGAAAATTTTGTTAATGTGAGGAGCACTCAATCTTCAGTATGATTCAGAGCCCATAGTAAAGTTTTATGCATCTTCTGTTGTTCATCATCCTACCATTTAAGTCCCCCAACCTTATAAATGAATTCTACTCTAGGTGAGACAGGCAGATGCTAGGTATGTTGAATAGATCGTCACTGGAGGCATTATTTATGCAATTGATTATTTGAAGAGATTCTTCAGAATATGAAATGCCTTTGTACCTTATTTGTCAGGGTACTGATAAGGTTGTTATGGCTTTCATAGTGATGTGTGTTTTTTAATATGTTTAAACATACTATGATTTACCTTTCTGCTCAGAAGCAAATTACAAAGGCAGTCCGTTTGGAAATGCTCGTTTGTCACATGAGCCGCCTTCTTTTCTTCAGATTGTTTCAATTTCTTTATGATGTTTGTACAGGACGACTTGGTAGCTGTAGTCTTTGTAACTAATGTTCAGAATACCTGACTTCAGTGAAGCTCTTGTTCTGACTTTCTTTGTGGGGACACTGAACATAGGAGAATTTAAATCTGATATATGGGAGTTGATACTACAGAAATTAAATATTAAGCAAGGGAGATTTTAAATCAAGAGATAGTAAACAGATGCCACCCTATGATTTATAGAAATTTGTACATGATTTAGAACATTTATGTAGTGTAGAATTTTGTGCATGCATTAGTATATTTATCAAATGTGTTCATGAGATATGTCCTAGTTTCACTATAACATCACAGACATTTTTGAACATATTCATTCAGGAAGTTTAATATATTTTTAAATCTTCATAGTGTTATTTTCCCTGTATAACTGCTGATAATCCATCTGTCCAGGATCATTTGCCAGTTCACATGCAAATGATCAGACCTGACACTTCTGAATAATCACTTCATGGATTTCCTCAGTTAGTGCAGACAAATGTCATCATCTGACATTTATTTGGGCCATTGGCATTTTCTGTTCCGTATTTAAAACACATCATTCAAAATTAATTGTTTATTTCTCATTCTGTGATATATAAACTTTTTAGTTGACCTCATTAAATAAATCAAGGTACAAACATGTTTTTGTGGCATGTTGTTTGTTGGGAGCCCTGTACTGGGACTGTGTTAAACTTAATGCAGCCCGCTTTCATTCTCTGGTTGTAAGCCCTTAGCACTGACTGTAGATATCCACCAGCTAAACCTTATCATGGAGATCTTGGGCACCCCCCACGAGGAGTTCATGCAGAAAATTTCCAGTGAGTCTGTAAGTAACATTGGCTGTGTTTTTACTGATTGGCATGGCTACTCAATGCTTGAAGTACATGACACTTTGTGTTTCTACAGCTGTCTTCCTCCTCCAACTCTTGGTGTCACATTTATGCCTGATCGGATTACTAGATCCTAGAGTAGCTAACAGTTTTTGTGCATTTGAATGATCCAGGAAATTCTGTTTTTCACAAAAAGAAAAATATGAAGCAAGGACAAGAACATTACAGCCCAGTTTATACATCTCAGTGTGGGAGGAAAAAGCCATACATTGTGTCATGTAGCTAGTTAATGCTTGTTTTGGTATTTTCTGTGTCTCTGTGTGTAAGAATAATGTATGTTTTATCACTAGAACTTGTATCTTTTGTTGTAGTTTTGTTTTGTTTAGACAAATGATGTGTGATCTTAAACAAATGCTTTATATTTTAGAAATGCATTAGTGAACAGTGCAATTTGGTGATGTTTTCAATCCTTGTTTGTGATTGAGAGTGACCCAGTTTAGATACCTACTTTACTCACCAAGATTTTTCATGGGTTTAGTTTGTATAACAAGGAAAATGCTAGGATAATATCTTAACATAGACTAAGACCACATCCTGCCCAATTGATCATTCTTTATCAGCTTGCCATTTGATACTGAACAATTCATACCCTGTCATGAAATAAACCAAGAATGCATGATGAGATTCACATTGTTTTTGACACTGAATTCTTGTGTAGTGTCTTAGCTTTTGTAATTTTATTTAGATGGCGTCGACACTGGTCCCATGGAACCTTCTTCTTATTGTAAGACACTGTCTTTCACAGTGTGTTTCACATTGCATTAAGCATGGTATTGTTAGGAATGAACCAAGAATGGGCAGGCTTTTAATGGTGGCAGTGATGAACCTTCAGTTTGTAACAGGTATCAGCAGAATAGATACCAAATGATTGAGTAAGATTGGTATTAGGTGCAGTGAGCGTAATTAACAGACCATGTGCCTTTTTATTCATGATCCCCCATTATCTTCATTTATAAATATAAATTTGCCCATAAAATTTGACAGAACTACAAATATTGCAGATAGAAAGTGTGTTACGTGTTTACATCTCACTCATTTCATATAGCAAGATATAACACACACACACACCCACCTACCTGCCATGCAGTCCCAACTGTTTACAACAGATAAACTATACTTTGCTGGAAGTAGAATAACATTTGTATGTGTATAGGCATTTATCCACATTTATTAGATATAATTACAGTAATTGGCATGGTAATCTATTTAAGTGCTGGTTATTACTTTTTTACACATAACTGGTTGTAATTCACATTTGTATTCAGACTTTATATGTATGATACATTTATGTAGCATACAGTGGTTTATACAAAAAATTATTAGTAGAATTTTGAATGTTTTAAATGTAGACTTGGTCTTTGGGGCAATACAGCTATTCATTGGTTTCTTTGTTTCTAATTGTAATGCACCATAAAGCTTTTTCTTTTTTTCTTCAGACATCCAGAAATATGTTACTAATTTTAACAGTGTTAAATAAGATTTTGGTTTCTTTGTTTAACCATTAATTTACTGATTCATTAGTTAATTGTGTGTAGTTAATGGGTGAAATATTAATAAATTAACAGCTATAATGGCAGTAGATCTAGTAACATTATATCTAATGCATTGTGTGGAGTCACAATCTAGATGTGTACCTAGTAGGTACCAGGGGTATTCTTCCAGCTGAATACGTACCTCTATGTAACAGCTGACCAGTGTATAGACCTCAACATCATAAATTACTTGCATATTATTAAATATGCATCACATGAAAATGTGTTTGAAATAAAAGTAACGTGTCTTAATGTTATTTGCAGTTTATTTTTTAATGATGCATCATTTCAAGGAATTTTGTAGAATTCTCTTACAATTTCATGTTAAGTAGGGTTATAGAGATCAATTTGTGGTATTAAATCTAATGCCATATTTAATCAGAAACTTCCCATTGTGCATTCCATTTATGTAGACTTCAGAGAGGATATGAAATACACAATTGCAACAGGGATGTAACTGTTAAAGTGAACTCTGTGCAGTCATTTAACTGCATTTTATTCTCAATATGATAACTGTCCAGTAAAATGCCTGAGATGTATATGATCATTGGTCAGAAGAAGACTGATTATAGAACGTTATGACCACATTGTTTAAGATGTCCACAATGGGTCATTCAGTGATTGTACATGTGCGTGGGTGACTCATACATTTGTAACACTGCTTCTTTCTGATCCTGAATAAAGAGTGACCCACAGTCACTAACTGTATCCAGTGTGGAGCAACTGTCCCATAAGCTAGACAGCCTGTAGACTTTGTTGAGCAATGCCTGATTGGAAAGCTTGTTTCATAACATTTCCCACTTAAAAAAATTGTAGCCCTTGTAGTGTACCCAAGAGGGAAACATTTGAATTTCTACCTTTTCAAAGTTTACAATAGTTAATGCTATCTAGTGCTAGATGGACAGGATTCTTATAAAAGGCATTGTGCAATGGAGTGTTACAGTGCTGCAATCTATATTAGTTAATCACAGAAATAAATAGATTTATAAAATGTGAGGACAGCATTTTCTCTGTTCTGTCACTATGGATTAGTGTGCTCCTTAACATGATGTTTTGTCCAGACATTGACCACCTAACCCGCATCCTAGTGCTCTGTGGTACTCCTGCAAAGGAGACAATTGCCAAAATAACAAGTGAAGAGGTAATGGCTTTGTCTTGTGTCCGAACCAAGGGATCTCAAATAAAACAGCCTGGAAACTGGAATGACTTTCTTTTTTTTCTGTCAGAGATATTCTTTATCCACAGGCTACCATATTTGTCACACAGATATTAACATGAGTTATGGGCACCAGCTCATTTCATGAATAATACAAAAAGTCAGAAGTAACCAATTGTAAGGTGTTATTTAGTTTTGTTCCATTCTTGGGATTCTTCTGTGTACTCAGAATAACCTCATTACCTAAATTTTGTTACACATCAAATGATTGAACACTGACATCAAAATGTTGCAAATGCAGCTACAGCTTAATTTATGTTTGCTTGAGGACTGTTAATGGTCCTGTGGTATGCTTGTTTACCATTTTGCTGTAGTGGTTGAAATGGCTTCACTTTTGCCACTGCATTTAAATTTGATTTATATGCTTCACTTTCCATATAAGTTTGAGATCTGTTGGTGAGTTTGCATTTAAAGAAGCTGGCTTGGAATTCTCATGTAGTTTTAACATATTGACAACATATATTAACTTATATATTAAGGCATGTGATCATATATATAGTCAATATAAAATATACAAAAATGTAACAATTATATTTTGTAGATGATCTCCCAAAATAATTACAGTAAATAAATTCTAAGTAAAATTAATGAATTACATTCACTTCTTAGTAAATGTGTTTTCATGTCCAGATCCCCCAAATATCAGTGCACTTTGAATTCCTTCTATTAGACACAGTTGGTGGGGCTTTGACCTCATACAGCCCTTTCAGACTCCAAACACAAAATTGTGTAGGTCAGGACACTGCTTAATTCTTGTCAAATCATGGCTCACAGGCATTGGAGTCACACACCATACAAACATAGAGAAGTTGGACAAAAGAGAAACAAAGAAAGTGTCCATATTATTGTTTTTTAGGAAACCATCACTCACACAGAATTTTCTCATGTAAGAGGTGTTTGTCCAGTGTAAGAAGCAGCGCTTATAAATGTTTACAGAAACATGAGACCAATTGGTTTTTTTGACTAGGGTGTTAATGTAGTTCAATCAAATTTAAATTGTGACCAAAACAAAAATGAGGCATGAAAATTGAAATTTTTGCTCATATGACAAAGCTGAGCTTACAGTAGTGATTACTGGAAATTTCCCCTCTAAATGTGCTGTTAGCTGGTTATCAGTTGCTTCCTTCCCATTCAAATTACATAGCACTTGTAGAAGTTATAAATAAAACATTTACATACATTAGCTTTTATTCCAAATGTTAATGATTTTACTCTTTGTCTTAGGCGCGAAACTATATACAGTCTTTGCCCCCACTTAAGAAGAAGGACTTCAAAGATGTTTTCAAGGGAGCTAACCCACTTGGTAAGTGTTAAACATATCCACACAGGCTAGACCTGTCAAATATATTTCATTATTTATTTAATTTGATGTAAGGAATATGTGATATTTTGACTTCCTGAGTTGTATGCTGCTCTTAGCTTTGATGCTGTGTGGACTGAGTTATTGATAGCATCATTATATGAACTGCAAATAAAATAAATTACTCTTTGGCATTCAGAAAATATACACAGTGTTTGTGTGTGTGTGTGCTGTGTTCTTGATGATGTAGCAATTGACCTTCTGGAGAAAATGTTGGAACTTGATGCAGACAAACGCATAACTGCAGAAGAAGCACTTGCACACAAGTACCTTGCACAGTATGCTGATCCCTCAGATGAACCTGTATCTGCCCCATATGACCAGAGCTTTGAAGATATGGATTTGCCAGTAGAAAAATGGAAAGGTTAGTTTCTATAATGTTACCCAGACTCAAGATATTTACAACATGAAGGCAGTTTCTCGCTTGCATCAAACTTGAAAGCATATACCTTTTTCTTCATAGATGCCATTATCTGCAAATTAAACATGAGCCAAAGAAAGAATTTGAAAGAGACATGTTTTTTTCACCAGGCCTAGCATTACAAAGTTGTGTGTGTATAAAGCTGACATGATAGGTTTCATGGCAGAATAAAAATATATCAGCAAATTTAACATGGACCAAAAAAGAGTTTGAAAGAGATGTTTCTTCACCCTACCTAGCATTATAAAGTTTTGTGTGTGTGACTTGATCATTCTCAGTAAAGTCATTATCCACTTTAAGTTGTATACAGTAAAAGCTTGATGTAACATGTGCATACATGAGTTTTAAAATTAGTTTTTCTAGGTGGATGGTTCTTGCATCCATGATTGGTCTGTTTGTATTTCTTGATTATTGATTGTTATGTTTATAGTTAAAATTCTAAAAGTTATAAGTTAAATTGAAGTTTAAAAGTTAAAATTTGAATTCAAGAGTTTGTGATTTTTCCACAGTTATTTCCAGTCATGTCCTGCTTATGCTTGCCTTTGGTGCAGTTATTGGAGCTACTGTTTTGGTATTTGACTTTCCTTATGTATTATTATTATTGTTAATTTTACTGTTGATAGTTTTGTTGTTACATCTTATTTTCCTGATGCACACTTGTTTTATCATGCTTTGCTGGATTTTGTAATTCTCAATTGTTTCAGTTCTTTGTTGTTTATGTTTTTGAAGTGTTTATTTTTTCACCTGTGTATGTTGACTGTGCCATTGTTATTTATAACTTTATACCTCTGTTATTATTCTTGATGCTGTTATGCTCCTTACTGTGTCAAGGAACTCTTTATCTTAAGTAGTCACATCATAGTGTCAAATACAATTCAGTTTAGATCTGATTTAGTGAGTTAGTTTAGTTGGTTGTTGGATTGCAGAGTACAAAATTAATCACATATGTTTTGTAAAGCACTATTATCTATTTTCAGTGGACTATGTGGCTCGTGTTAGAAGTGCCTTTGTATGAAATTATTGTTTTACTGCACATCTTCACTCTTCACGTCATAACCAGGGGAACAAATTCTGTGGTCTTCCCTGAACAGCTTGTAATTATCTACATGATTGAAAACACCCTTCTTTTTATAAAGCCCTAAGGTTAATTTTTATATATGGTCCCCATATTGAGCCAGTTCAGTCTAATTCACAACTTCACAATGTAGTTCTTAAGATACGTTTTAATATTATCCACCAATTAAACCTGGATATCACAGGTATTTTCCAAGAATTAAATTTTTGTTATTCCCCATGTTGTCTGTGATATGCTGATCTTAATTTCATTTTCCAAATAATGATACCTTAAGAATAAGAATTAATAATAGCCTTGTTGCC